CTCGGGCACACATCTGTGTGAGAATAACACTCGCATACGTTAATATCAGCGTCAGTTCTTAACAGGAAGCGCAGGATATTACACAATATCATTCGTAAAGTAATGGCACGCTCATGCCAATCGGAAAGGTCGAGTGGACACAAAATAATTGGATATCAGCTCAGTGCTTAATGAAATCCTGTTCCGTTTAAGGAAAATATAACTCAGTTTATGTGATTGCAAATGTTGCCTAATACTACTCTGTTTTTATTTGTTCCTATTTCGTAATTACAGTTGTGATTTCCTCCCCCACCATGCCATCACATGTCCAGGTGGCGACAGCTTTTAATTTGAACTCAAAGTTTGTCTAGACATCCCCTTTGCTCTTACGTCAAAGCTCGCTCTTGTTGAACAAATGGCGAAATACAACCAATACCTTTTTGTACCTACAACATTCCCTAAACTTCTAATTGTCAAGAGATTTGTATACCTGCATGGCCACGTTTGAAAAAGATTATGAGAAAATATGGCCATGTTTGAAAATGAATATTAAAAAAGGGGAAATTCGTCCTTTTGTTTTTTCCTGAAGATCATGGTTATTTTTAACGTTCTTATTTCACTCATTACTTTGAATATGTAGTTAATACCAAGGCCTTCCTGAGTTCAGGAACATCTGGGAAACCCGTAACTGAGAGGGAACACGCGCGAGTTTGGTTTGAGATATGCGGAAGATAAAATGAGTTTTGTCACCCCTATGGGCACTTTTCTTTTATCGGCACATGCTCATTTAAAACATCGCTGCAACAGGTGCAAATATCCAGATGTTTCAAATTATACGCACAACACAAAAGAGCTCTTTTGTCATTCATGAACATTCAATTATCATGAAATTACGTACCATCAGCCACACATATACGCAAACAAATAAACAAACACACACTCACACAAACACAGACACAGAAACAGATTTCCATATATGCATGTATACAGATAAACGAATACACAAATGTACACACATGCACACACTAGAACATGACCTTGAACAAAGTATAACGCACGCACAAATAAATACATACACACGAATATATTATTATCCCTCTCTCCGACTGACTGGGTAACACGTATACAATTTTTTACATACTATAAATATACATTTTACATCATATATTATATTATAACATTATACGTATATATATAATAATGTTATATTATATATGTAATATTATAT